TGATTTCAAAGAGATAATATACGTCAAATGCTCAGAAGAGTGTCTAACGTCCTGAAATAGTAGAGATGGGCTTATTATAATAGCAGACATTGCCCCCACTATTTCTCTCTCTCTCTCTTTCTCTCTCTGTCTGTCTCTCTCTCTCTATCTCACACACACACACACACACACACATGGTTATCCTCTGGCATTTCTCCTCCCAGAGTTCTAAAATGTCTCCTGCCTTCTCTTGCCTAGGCTACTGGTCTGCAGGCCAGAGGCCTCCCTCCTCAACATGCCTCACCTGGGCCGTTCAGCCTTGTGGGTCTTTGCCCCAGCTGGGAAAGATGTGTCCAGGATATTTTGACAGCCATTCTCAGCTTGATCATCACCGTGCTTGGGGGAAGCCAGTGGCAGAACAGGAACCAGGCTGCTTGCTGGACTGATGGGACGCTTAGGCACTGAAAGGTTAAGGGACTTGCCCAGGGAGCAGGGTCGGTAAGCAGTAGAGTCTGGAAGTAAGCCTGGGTCTGAGTGACTGCAGTGCTCCCTCGAGGGTGAATAGCCCTCCAATGCCACACATCGAGTCCTGGGCACTGTGGAAGGATGCACAGATGCCCGGCTCAGGGGTAGGGTGAAATTTGGCAGGCAAAGGAGGGGTGGTGAGGGCCCCTTTGGGCAACAATGCCTTCAGGTTCAGGACCCAGAGGTCCTGACCTTGTCCTGACCTCGGAGGCCCCTGCAGTAGAGCCTCTACCCCTCACTTTGCCATTCGTTCAATAGATCTTTGGTGAGCACCACTTAAGAGACCCCTGTTCTCACAGAATCAGAAATAAAGGAGCAGAAAATGATCAATGCAAGGAAACAATAAAATGTGTGAGAATCTGGGGACTAGGACTCCAGGTGGAGGGAGCAGCAAGGGCAAAGGCCCTGAGGCAGGAATGCACTTGCTATGTTTGAGGAATGGTGGAATTTGGTAAGGGCAGGGCGAATGGGAGATGCGGGCAGAGAAGAGCTTGTGTAAAGCCTGGATGTTATTGGAGGTTCTCAAGCTGTGAGATTCATGATCTCATATATGATTTGGAGACCTCACTCTGGCTGTGCGTGGAGGGCAGCCTGAAAGGGATCAGGGTGGAAGTATGGTGTTACTTCAAGGCCCAGGGTTGTGGTGGTGCCTCACTGTGGGGCAGTGATGGAGGAGGGAGGCAGCGGACCGCCCCAGGGTCTGTTTTTCAGGCAGAACAGACAGCACCCGCTGATGGGGGGGAAGGTACGGCAGGGAGATGAAGGGAGAGTCTAGGAGAACGCTGCTCTCGCCAGCGTCACCTTGTGTCAATTCTCAGTGCCTCCCTGGCCTGCCTGCTGGTGTGAAATGGATCCCAGGGGAGAGTGAGTCCTCTGTGCCCTGGGGCACTGACTGTGGGAAAGGGGTTGGAGGCACAAGCCACGGAGTGCTGAGTGCTGTGCTCACTGGAAGCTCAGGGTCTGTGGGAACCTGGAGGAGGGGCTATACATCGCCCAGACTTGAGGAATCAGAGAAGGCTTCCTGGAGGAAGTGGTATCGAAGCTGAGAGCCAAAGGATAAGGAGACATTCAGCACAAGAGAGGGGAGGAAGTGAAGATTTGGGGCAGTGAAAAGGCACTCAGAGAACTGAAGGCAATAGGAGGCTTCCAGAACCCAGAGTGGGAAAGGGGACAGTGCTAGATGAAACTGGAGGGAAGAACTAACTGTGCAGGCACACTCCCCAAGGGCCTTGAAGGCCCCCCTGAGAGGTTTCCACTCAATTCTGACTATACTAGCTTTCAAAGGGGGGGGGGGG